AAAAATTCTATAAATCGAACTGGGCGTTACAGGGAAGCTGAAGGAGCTGGAGCTCGAGTATTTTTCTCCTACCCGAAAGTGCGTGCAGAATGCGGATATGATGGACAACTTGAGCTGGGAAAGCTTTTGGCACTCTTCGTTTTCTCTGTTGGGACTTCTGCAATTTGTTACCTGCTCTTTTCGGTTCACCAGCTTTATGAGCAGTGGCACAGGGAATAACAAAAGTAGCTAGCTGCACATGGTATAAAAAATGAAACTTCTTGTAAACAATAGCAAAAATATTCATTTAGGAATATTCTGTACAGTATTGGAAAGGTAGTTATAGGTAGGAGATACCCGTAATCATATACAAGTATACATGTAAGGTTAATAAAAGAGCTCGGTTCAGCTTGTTCACAGCCAACAATATACCTGTAAGGTTAATGAAAGATAAAATGAAAAGTTCGCGAACAGAGCTCGGTTCAGCTTGTTTCATTAGCACGGGCACATGGCCTGAACACATTGGGCTTGCTGACATAGGAAACCGAGTATCAATGAAAATAGTTATTCTGGGTATTGTATAGATACTCTTTGAGGTGGTAAAAATTCTAAAAACCTGCATACAGTGCCTCGATTGCCCGCTAAATGGTTGAATGCATATAATAAGCACTCAACATAAAAGTAAAAATTAATCTCTTCTCCTGTTTTTCGTCAATGCATGAACTTTTGAAACAACAGAAAAATTATACCCTAACCTATAAGCACTAAACGCTTGTACTGTGTTTAGCAAATACATATCGATTCGAGTAACGACTCAGAAGTCAGAAATACTAAGGAGAGGATTCAGTTGACCCGGTTAAGTAAGAATCTACTTAAAGCATCATGCTTGTAAGAAAATCAAACTTGTGACACTAATCATTTTACCTCTTTGTGCTCTTCAATGTGTATTAAGTACCAAAAAATTGCTTTGACTGGAAGGTGCCTCATAATCCTCAAAAGCAAAGAAACATAAAAAAGGAACGAAAAAGGAGCACAAAAGGAGTTGCAGTGATTAAAGAAAAGTCGTAATTCAGAAACAGATATCAAAATCCAAATAAGCCAGGAATTTTATTGATTTCAGGCCAAAAAAAAAAGTCTATCTGAGTCTGGTGTCTGTCAAAGACATACAAAAATCTCAAAGAACAACATTAAGAGTTCCAACAACCCCGCATAGCTCTACAAAACCATTTCCGGGCTACAGTATGGGCATATCCAGCGCCTTCAAAACATCCTTAAACTCGAAATCACGAGTCTGTTTGTTGAAACGTTCGACCAGCTTGTACCTGACGTCATTTAGGTAAAAAGATTGTGCAGTCTCCAATAGCCATTTTGCTTCTGAGTCACTCAGCTTGCTAGTGAAAACTATGTCACCACGGATAAGAACCAAATCCTTGCTGTCGGCAAATTCCTTGTAGTATGTGGCCGTGAAGTATGGAGCAGCTTGGGTCCCTCTCGCTTTATAATCTTCAAGGCCAGTGAAAAGCATGTGTGGCATCTGAACTGTAAGTTAGATATGATAAAGGGTTAATTACGTAAATTACCTCCAATACTTGTTCATGTACAAATAAAACCTAGTCAAGTTATTGTTGGGAAATTACAAATAGTACACTGAAGGTTTTATCTAACAACAACGCAACCCAGCTAACTTTCAAAATTACGTACGATAAGCACAACACATTTATAATAAGCAAAACACGTTTAAAACTCCCCCACCACACTTATGAAAATATTACTATAAGCCCTTTTATTTAACAATGAACCAAACCCGGTGTGTTTTACAAATTGCACATTTGAACATGGGTTAGATTATTGTTATGTAATTACAGGGTAGTCTTACATTTCTAAGACTTAATCTGTTCTAGAGTTACAGATGCTCTGAAATAAAGTAAGTTAGCTCTAGACAAAGTCATCCAACCATGTGTCACAGCATCAAATAGCAAAAAGGTGAATATTCTTAACCTTGCAAAAACATTGTTGTGTAGCCACTTCCTTTCCACAATGGAATCACAAAATAACGGCTGCAAGACAAAGAGAAAATAACTTTCAGTTTATGAGCAAAACGTAAAATGAGAAGACAAAAAGGTAGATCCCTACCAATCTGAAGTTCTTTGCTCCAAAAGATGGTACAGCTTTGCACTCATTGACAAACCAATATGACCCCTTCCCAGGTGATACTGACAAAACAACCATCAATACTGTAAAATTGCAAGAAAAATACACACTTGAAATCACAAAGAAGGAATGTGCGGAATATAAATAGCTGATATATTTCAATTCCAAGTATATATATGTAGTACCATAAAGCTATAACAGTTGCTTCTGAAGATAATATCATCTACGAACAAAACAGAACGAAGGCCTCAAGAATTAATATGCAGTAAATATTATTTATAAAGAGGCACTTCTTGTATTGTCAGTTTTAGCACAGCCAGGGGCTGTCCGAAATGTAACAATTCACCATATGAAGCTGCCATGTACAGTTAATAGCAGAAAAGCGTTCAATATATAACAAAACCACTACAACATAGTTCTTCAAGAGAAGAAAGAAGGAAAATGCAGATTCTTCGGTCAAAAGATTAAAACAAAGAAAACTAAGAGTTTAGTTCTTAGAAATTTTTTTGGCATTATTATGCTGTCAAAATGCAACACAAATGAAGAAACATACATCATCCCAAATATCAGCAAGTTCCTCAGAGGATTTGCTCTTAGCCCTGCTGATATCTATAATCGACTCTAAGGGCTTGGGCAGCAAAGGTGTGAATCCAGATGCAAAACTCGATGTTCTGCAATATCCTGGTGGCCCCCACCTCAACAGATTTCCAGAAAATGCAGCCTTTCGAGTATTACCAACCTGTCTTTGCAAAGCCGAGATGGCACTAAAATAACGTTTTGCGTCCATTGATGAACATGTGGTTTTCGAACACAGGGGCCCGACTAACGAAAACGCCCTCCTTGTAACCTTGGATACCACATGATGCATCATGCAATTTCTTCTGCAACATATATATTAATGACGATCACAAATAAAATTTGGAAAAGTGAAACAAGTGAGAGCTGAAACCCATCCCATGTTCGGCGCAAACAACCCATTTTCGAAACTACAAGGTAACTACAGTTCACTGAAGACATTTATCAAACAGTTCATGAACGTAATACCTATAAAAGCTAGCATCTTTCCTGAGAATTGAAATATACAAAATTCAAGATAGTCTATTAAACTGAAGCATTTTTTTTTTGCATACACTACAAACACGGATGCATATACGCATACACGTATACGTATCATATGCAAAAATCGGCAAAAGCCATGATTCAGGCGACTCGTGTATACCGAGTGTTGAATGTCCCAATCCATGAACTTTCGCGCAAATTTTTTAGCCAACCCAAAAGCAATGCTAAAATCAGCTCACCTGAATTCCTATAGTGAATAGCTGATTCGATTGCAGCTACATGAAGAGCTACCAAGATTCAGTCCCGACTGTGAAATCCTTTTGGAAACTCCAGGTTAACAGCATAAGTCCTCCTTCCACCAACGATTTTTGTTTTGAACAATGGGCCCGAGTTTTCATTTGGATTGGGCTACACAAATATCCTTTATGTATACCAAAGCCCATTTAGATACTCGGATTAACTCATCACATGCTTGGTATCAAGTATAATTCGGCCCACACCGTGAAATGCCACTGGCTTGCACTTGGTAAAACATAATAGAGCTACAAGTAGGTGTTAAATGAAATGAATCTCGTAAATCAGCTCGACTCATTAAGGATCGAGTTCGGCTCGACTTATTTGATAAACGAGCCGAACTTGAGCTCGTTCAAAACTCATTTCGTTAACGTGACAGACTCGGCTCGACTCGTTAAAGTTCATAAAGTTAATTTATATATGATTTCCTACAGTTCGGCTCGTTAAAGCTCGAGATCGGCTCGTTAATGTTGATAAACGAGCTAAGCTCAAGCTCAACTCGGCTGGAAGTACCTTCTGAAAACCTTCTTCTATCATTAATGGGCCACATAACCCATTTTGGAATTTGGCTCGAGTGAAAACCAATTCAGAATATATGTGGCTAGCGGCCTAACACAATTATGGATCTCGATAGTTTTTAACCAAAACCGCCTAACACAAAAGGTTTGTAAGACAACAATTATGGATCTCGATAGTTCTTAACCAAAACCGCCCAACACAAAAGGTTTGTAAATCCATGATCCGTTGGGTTGGGCCAATTGGCCACACCTAACAAGAGCTATACCAAATTCAATAAAATAAATAATATATAGTAAAAGCATGCTAGTAGCAAAAAGTTTTAGACCTTGCACACCAAACTTCTATATATGGAAAGCTTTAGGGACATTATAAAAGTACCGTATCATCTTTATAGGGGAATTTACAAAAATTTGGGCAGACAACATTTTACCTTTCTCGTTATTGTCCCCACTAGTAATCCTTTTTCTGGTATAGTTGAGTCATGTGTAGATAACCAATATACGCATGATAATGAAAAATCTAAATGGCACTACAATAACCAAATTGTAAAGCACGAGTTTTGAAAGTGTTATGCCTAAAGTGTTGTTTATATTGCTTAGTCCAGTTTTACTATGAAGCCAACAATTGGCTCCACAGTGGAGTCAACCTTCTATATACATTAATTAAACCATAAAAATGG